ATATATATATTTCTATCTTCCCTGGTTTAGTATTTTTCTTTCTTAGTCTGCTCAAGTATTTGCACGTGAATCCCCAATAATTTCTCATGCACCAGTGGGTCCTTAAGCCAGCCCTTCTTCTTTTGTTCTCATGCCAAACTCCAACTCCCAAGAATCTCTCCTTCTCTTTCCTTTCTCCCCCACACACCCAGATTTTTCTCTTCTTCTTTTTTTCTTATAGGTAGACTTACACAATTCTTCTCTTTGCTTCACCAGCCTCAACAATGGCGAAAACAAAGCCACTTATTATGTTTTCCTTTCTGGTGTTTCTCTTCGCTTCTTTTGCTGCTGTTGCTGGTAGTGTTCAATGTGTTCAAGAAAAGAAAGTCTTGAGCTTCCAAGAATGGCAATGGAAGCAAAAGAATCACACTTCAAGTTATTGTCTCTCCCAGAAATCAAGTGAGTAGAAAATAGAAGTAAAAATAATTATTTCTTTTAAGCCTGCCATTGATGAGTTAATGGTGATTAATATACAAGTCTGCTTTCCTTTTTGAGCTTTTATTATTTAATTCTCCACTTTGGGATCTGTAATCTACTACTGCTTTCCATGTTTTTTGCTAGGACCTATAGCTGCTTTTATGCTTTATGGAAACAATCATCATTGGTCTCTCTCTTTCTTTTCCCTTTTAACTTTGTTGGGTTGAAAACTGAATGTTATTGGTAAAAAGAAAAGTTATATACCTTGACTCTGCTTTCATTTTCTTTTCATTTCAATATGTAGCCTATTATTGAATTATGTACTTTCAATATAATATATATTGACAAATTTATTTAAATTTTTTTTGAATTAAATTAAAATTTTATTTGATTAATTATATTACATTACATTTCATTACTAGTGATGAACATTAATATTAATTATTTTTAGAATTTTTAATTTGGAATTTTAGGATGGGAGAATGGTGCAACTATTCTTGAAATGAAGCACAAAGATTCTTGTTCAAGAAAGATTATTGATTGGAACAAGAAGCTACAAAAAATCTTGGTTCTCGATAATTTTCGAGTTCAGTCACTTCAATCTCGAGTGAAAAAACTTGTTCATGGAAATAATGAAGAAGATTCTCGAGAGTCTCCAATCCCGTTAATTTCTGGTGTAAAACTTCAAACCCTAAACTACATAGTTACAGTTGAATTAGGTGGTAGAAACATGACAGTGATAGTAGACACCGGAAGTGATTTAACATGGGTTCAATGTCAACCTTGTAGACTATGTTATAACCAACAAGACCCCATTTTTAACCCATCAATTTCTGCTTCATATCAAACAATTTTATGTAATTCATCAACTTGCCAATCCCTCCAATCTGCAACTGGCAATACTGGTGTCTGTGGTAGTAATCCACCAACCTGTAACTATCTTGTTAACTATGGAGATGGGTCCTACACCCGTGGCGATCTAGGCATAGAGAAGCTCAATTTAGGAAAAGTTTTTGTCAGCAAATTTATATTTGGCTGTGGAAGAAATAATAAAGGTCTGTTTGGAGGAGCTTCAGGTCTTATGGGCTTAGGGAGAAGTGATCTTTCATTGATTTCTCAAACTTCTGCAATATTTGGAGGAGTTTTTTCTTACTGTTTACCAAATACAGCAGCTGATGCTTCAGGTTCTTTAGTGTTTGGTGGTAATTCTTCAGTTTACAAAAATACAACTCCTATTTCTTACACTAGAATGGTTTTTAACCCACAATTACCTACCTTTTACTTTCTTAACCTAACTGGTATTAGTATTGGTGGAGTGGCATTGCAAGCAGCAGGGTTTGATCAAGGTGTAGTACTGATAGATTCAGGGACAGTTATTTCCAGGTTGCCTCCTCCTATTTACAGAGCTCTAAAAGCAGAGTTTTTGAAACAATTTTCGGAGTTTCCTTCTTCGCCGCCTTTTTCAATCTTGGATACTTGTTTTGACCTTAGTGCATATCAGGAAGTTGATATTCCTACAATAAAATTGCACTTTGAAGGAAATGCAGAACTGAATGTTGATGTAACTGGGATTTTATATTTTGTCAAGACTGATGCATCTCAGGTCTGCTTGGCTCTTGCTAGTCTTAATTTCGAAGATGAGATCCCCATAATAGGAAATTATCAGCAGAGAAACATAAGAGTTGTATATGATAATGTGGAATCTAAGCTGGGATTTGCAGCAGAAGCTTGCAGTTTCGACTAAGCAAATGATTCAAGAAGTGTTAAGTGTGTGATTGTGAATATATTTATCTGATGCAAATTGTCAATTTCTTCTGTTGGCAAAGAAATAGTAGACCTGTAATTTTCTTCATTTAATACCATATAAATAGCTACTACAATCCATTGGGTTAATACAGCAAAAAGTGTGCAAGTAATGTATTATTAATATTTTCCATGTAACATCTGTTTGAATATGAGAGGAAAAAAAATTGAAGATACATATACTAGTCAGTTTAATTAGTTATTGCATATGGTTTTATGTCTGTATGTTTTTGCTGATGATAACATCAAGACCATGAAATTTCAATCTTTCAAATCAAGCACAGGAGATTCCATTTCTTTCGACGTTATGAGGTAAAATGAAACAAAAGTTGCAAACCTGTCTCTGTACCAGGAATCTAAATATTATACAGAAGATGCACAATTATTCAACTGCATTCAAGACAAATTAGATGCCACAGACTTTTTCAACAAAATTATAGTATTTGAAAAGAGAGAGCCTATTAATATCTGTAAACATATCCAAACAAAACAAAGATAAATGGGCCATATAGATATTTTCCGTGTTGGGGGTATCCCTTTAATAATGTCCAGGAATATCTGTGCTTCTGCTTCATTTGGTTACAGTGTTTTAATCATCTCTAATCTAAAGTATTGCCCACCGGAAATATTATATAGTCGTGTTCAAAATTAGCTGCTTGATGCTCAGATTTGAAAGAAATGGCCGCAAACAGTCTCTCATAATGTTGACAAAACACTATACCCTGTTGATTGTGTGGAGCAGAAAAAAATCATAGTCTGAAGTAACTTTACCTTCCAAAGCTTAAACTGTTTCATGTGAATTTTCAGTTACTAGTGGATGGATCATGCAACCTCAAGCAAGTTCACCAACAGGAATGTCTGCTTAGATGGCTGGGGACTTTCATAATGCAGAAACTATTCCTTTATTCAAGGACTATCAACAAGGGAGGCCATTTCAAGATTTCCAGTTTCGAGCATATCATTGCCTTTTTTGGTGTTCAACATTTCCTCTGGAAGAATTGACGAATTGGGATCACTTCTGGGTATCAGAAACAGCAGGGCAATCGGAACCAATCTCAACATGCTCCTGATCAAAATGGCCATCCAGAGGTTGTCAAATTGCGTTCGTGTAACCTGTAAGATGTGGAGTAAAAGACCTCCTGCCCAAGTTGATGAAAGCATACCGACATGATCGATTGACATGAGCAAAGCAAAGAAAGTGCCCTCTATACCTGCAGGGCACAGCTTGGAACTAAGCACGAGAAGAGGCATCCACTTAATGCGACTAATCATTTTATGAACGCCTTCATCTATCACAACAAATAAATAATCTGGTAAACCCATTCTCAAGTTCACACGCAATACCAGTATCATATCTAACAATCCTGATAAACTATACAGCAACTGAGCCCAGAAAAGTATATCTCGAAAAGGTTGGTTCTTTAACAAATTTTGGTAGATAAGCACACCACAGAGGGAGCCTACTGCACCTACTGAGAATATGGACCCAACAACCTCCTGCATAAAAAATATGAAAGAGGAGCTTTTGTGACGTGGTTCATGTTATAATAAATACTTCTAAAACAAAATGGGAATTGCGTTAGAAATGCATTAAATAGATGCAACTTGAGTGTCATATGCAAACTTGTAACCCAAACAGAAGGATTTATTTTGAAATGCAACTTGACCTCATGAAATACTGAACACTAACACATGGCATACAATCACTAAAGAGCAATTTAAGGGATTGTTCGACTATTAAAGTTTGGCAAAGACATGACAATATCATTTTCAAGGCTAGATGCTAAATCCTGGTGAAATTGTTCATAACCATACACCAACAGAAGTACAAAACTCTAAAATTTTGTCAAATGAGCACTTGAAATTCTTTGGAAATCACTGCAGCTACATATTATCGAGAAAAGCTATAGGAACTTTGAAAAATAGGCAAATCCAAGCCCTAAGCATGTAGCTGTATCTGATAACTGATACTCATACCTGAGTCCAAGTAATATAGGCAATACGTAAAAAGTAAAGAATTACCTTTGAAAAAGATGGACCTCCTTTAGCATCTGTATACCAATAGAACATTCCTTCATGAATATGTAAGCTCATTGCAAGTGACAAGTACATGTATAAGCATGGCCTCCATACATTCCGGCATTTGAGTGTTGTCCACATAGCCCTACCAGCATCCATAAACTTCTCACTTGCCTAATTTAAAGACTCCATGTGAGCAAGCATGAAAAGCAGCATAAAAGTGCTGACTTACAATTAAATTGAAATAACTTTACCCCTCTATAGGCAAATTTATGCCCATGGAATTCTCGCAGCATTATTCCCACCAAAAGCACCAGGCCTGCTGGGATACTTAGCATCCCAAAGACACCCTGCAAGAGCAACATTTTAACAGGTCAATAAAGAGTACAACGAAGAAAGTAAACTGATAATTCTTAACTAATCAGAAGCTGTTCTCACCTAAATCTTAGTTTTGAAATTTTAGGATCGTCTAGGAGTTTCTAAAAGTCTTTAGGTATTTCCTTTTTGGTTCCAGTTAATCTTCAGTGTTTTTAGTTTTCTGCCGTTTAGAAGTCCTCATTCTTTTAAGATAATTTAGGCTTTTCATGAATAAACACGTAGTCTATTCTATTACACTTTTCTTTTAAAACGATATTGAAATATTTGATTTTCATTTTAGAAACATGCATTCCTAGTGTAATATTCCTATGTTGTACCTTTTTTGCTTCTCCTTCTTATTTGCACATATACTATATTTTTTCTTTCTCTAATACAGTAAAATGGGAACTGTTCTGAGCAAATAATGATTTCTTTACCTCCAACTCCTACCCCACTGCTTCACTGATACAAAACTTAAAGCCAACATATTTCTTCCAACTTTTCCATTGATTAGTCCAATTCCACTGAATCCAAGCTTAATAAATTGTTGCTGCCAGAAACTTCCAGTGACTATCATATTGCAGTCATATAAATGGCTACTTGTACCCTAAAACCTTTTGTTTTTAATCTTCCCTTAATCATGAAATGATACTTCCTTCTCAAAAAGTAAATCCTAAGTTCCTAATATCCGCAATCTCACGATCCTAGTTAACCTGTCAATCTAGTTGATTTCAAAACAGTAAAACTGCAAAAGATTAATTTAAGTTATTTTTATAGGATAATATTATCTGCATATAAAATGTATACCATGAGATATACCATATATTGGGATCAGAAATTTCCTTAGGCTGCAAAACAACCCACACATCTGATTCTTTTATTTCATCCTTTTTTAAATGATTGGACTTAACAAATGCAAACATCAATATGCACTTATGCAGTAACTTGAGTTTAGCTAAGAGGTTGGATTTTAACATGTCTAAGATAAAACATCAAGGATCATGCTGATCAGTGAATGTAGCCAATGATAACTATGAAAAAAAAACTAACCTTAGGGCCAACTATGCGAACCAAAAGGCCACTGAGTGAGAATCCCAGGAGCGCCCCAATGGAAGAGCTGAGACCACATAAGCTTTGCATATCACCAGCTAGAGAAGGATGGCTTATGCTGTTTTGTGTCACACAGGCATCAATGGTCACATCTGCTATAGCTATTCCAGCACTTCCAGCCATTAGAGACAGCAAAGCAAATGCGAGATGCAAGTTCTTCTTTAATGATAGCACAAGCATGGCGACCATGCTAAGAACACCTGAAAGTAATGGGATGGAATTGGTCAAACAACTGTATTCTGCTTACATTTATTCTTTTACATGATTATATTGTACACAAGATAAATCTCATTTTCTTCTCACTTTTTTGCTTCCTAGAAAACGGAATGGGAAAATTTACTAATAAGGAGAATTTCATTTGCTGAACTTTAGTATGCCTTTTCACATTATCACTGACCACAGGATCAAAAGACCTGTCCTCTTCATTCCAAGAAATGATGGCCTAATGTGCCAAAGCTTACATACAAATCCACCAAGCTTGTCCATTGAGTTTGTAGCCTTATATTTGGAAATATACTACACACTAGAAGCTCTAAATAAAAAATGTCACTTTCCAACCCTAATTTGTATTTTACATTCGATTTCATCAACAAGAACCAAACTAAGAGGATTCTACAGGTACACCTCTAAATAAACACTGGGAACACATCAAATACAACAGAAAACCAAATACAACTCCACTTATTTCATAACAAAAAACTTGATCATCATTAATATACCAACGTTCTAAGCCACCATAAACCTAAAAATATAAAATTAGATGAAAAAATTTAAAATTTACCTGCAAAAACAAAATAAGGCCGCCTGCGATACCCAAGAATAGGAAGAGTATCAGTAAGGAGACCCCATAAAGGCTTCACAATCCAAGGGAATTGAAGCAACCCAGAATAGACCTGTGCTTCAGAGGGTTGCACCTTCTGCTCATCCTTCATGTAGTATTGAGTGCTGACTTTGCTCAATCCCACACCAAATCCCTGGCTTATTCCATAAACGATCACCACCCCTAGAACAAAGCTCCAATGCAACTCGTCAATGAGCATTCTTAACCAGTGCACTGCCTTTAACATAAAATCTAAGAAGAAACCCTTTTTTGGGGTGTTTTCTATTTGGGATTCTTCCATATGACTTCAAGTGTGAATCTCTTTGTAGTTTCGCCAAGTGGATATCTCTAGTTTGACGAAAGGAATGAGCTTTTCTGCTTAATTTTTGGGTTGCTAAAGCAAAAGAGGGAGGAATGCATCTCTTCTCTGCTCCTGGATCCAAAATTTCAATCGTTGACTCTTAAAGCTGAGACCATTGACCAATTGCTGATGTAATATCATGCCGGTGGTGACAACTGATTCAACGGTTGAGCTGGATTAGTTTATTGATTACGTTTTTCAGAAAATGCATATGCAGATTGCTTTTTAGTTTCCATTTTGAGAACTTTGGTAGTAATGGATAGACATTTCTGTAACTCATGACTTATTTGAGAAATTAATTTTCAAACTTTAAATTAGTCTTAATGATTTAAGTAGCTCTAGGTTGTGGTGGCTGAATTCCAAATGTTGAACATTACATGAACGATTGAAAGTGATATCAAGAAATACAGAGGCAGAGCAATAAGTACATAAAGGATTTGACATCCGTTTTACGTTTGAATTTCCTTTCTAATACTTAAGAAAAATTTATATTAAAAAATTATTTTTTATTTTTTATTACGATAAAATTTAATCTATAATTTCATATTGACAACTTATTAGTTCAATTTAAATAAATAAACTTATTATTATCAAAATAAATAAATGAAAGATCTAATAAACTGTCAATACAACTCCTTAATTTTAGAAAAGTTGGAAAAATATTTATTCTTTAACAAGATTATAACTTGAAATTATATCAAGAGTTGTATTGATAGTTTTAGAAGAGCTTAATATAGTATTTATCATTTCAAATTATAAGTTAAAATCAGAATAACTAACGGATTCATGATTTTTTTTTTTTATTGGCCTTTTCTTCAATAAATTTAAGGTGGTTTAAAATGTTTGTTTCAGTTTTGTATATGAAGTTTTGGCGCCGTTTGACCGGTGTACATCGGCTACAACGTTATACATGTAACAGGTACCATTTCCCTATTTGGGAAAGTAAAGAAGGAGGAGTTCAAATAAAAAAGGGGTAAATTATTATGAATTTGCTGAGATTTGATTCTATTATTTTGTTTCTACTATTTAGACAAATTACTATACAATCTTTCAAAGTTAGTTTTGTTAATTAATTTAGTCATTTCATCTAAAAAATATGAGTTGAGACCCAATCAGAAGACGTTTCGACTTATATTCCTATTAATATAATTTTCATTACATATGGACAATTCAATGTTGGAATCAAACCCGCTATTACTGTGGGTATTTCCGTTTCCAGAGTAGGATCTGCGGCTCAAATTAAAGCTAAGAAACAGGTAGCTGGTAAGTTAAAATTAGAATTGGCACAATTCGCAAAATTAGAAGTCTTTGCGCAATTCGCTTCTAATCTCGATAAAGCTACTCATAATCAATTGACAAGAGATAAGCGATTACGCGAGTTGTTCAAACAATCCCAATCTGCTCCTCTCACAGTGGAGGAACAGATAATGACTATTTATGCCGGAACGACGGGTTATCTTGATTCACTAGAAGTTGGACAAATAAATAAAATTTTCTTTGAGTTACGTACTTGCTTAAAAACGAATAAACCTGAGTTCCGAGAAATAATATCTTCTACTAAAACATTCATCGAAGAAGAAAAAGGCCTTTTGAAAGAAGCTATTCAGGAATTGAAGGAGCTATTCAGGAACTGAAGGAGCATTTTCTTTTTTAGGAACAAGTAGAAAGAAATTAATTATAATATAAAGAAATTAATCTAATTATAAAGAAATTAATCACTTTTCTATTCATATTTTAGAATCTTTTTTTATAATTTTTATTTTTATTTTATTCTAATTCTATTATGTTCAAAAATATAAATCATCTCGAGTGTTATACGTAATTTCACTCTACATTTTATATAAATTAACTTAAAAATTTTTAAGTAAAACCTAATTTACAACCAACAATGCAGGTCAATTAATTTAGAGATATTATGATAAATGTCATATTTTGAAATTTTATTTTTTAAAAAAATATCGGTTTCATAAATGAAATTGGGCTGATTCGACAATTGCATATTTGCATTTCCTTTTGATATATGAGGACCAATTGGGTTGGTTTTCTTTCAAATACATAAACATTCATCTAGTCTAGATCAAGCTAGGCCCATTCACATGATCCATAAGAAACAAAAGATGTGATAATAAAAGCCCATAGTCCTTCATGAAGACACACGTGCAGAGCAGAGAGCAACCTTAGTGGGCATTGAAAATCCAAGTTCTAGGTAGTTAGTGTCCATCCCAGTTTTAATGTGGTATACTGAAATTCAGGCACTCGCCGCAAAATATAGCACACCAACAATCAATGGCACTTAAAAGCCATCTTCCAACCCTCTTTTTTGGGTGGTTGGTTGTTTCTTATGTAGAGATTAGAGCATAGAGAGGATCAACTATCATCCATATCTTTTATTTCTTGCACTTCAATTTAATGTAACTCTCATATATGTATATATTGAATCCACTAAAAGGTTTTTATATATAGAAAGTATTTTGCATGCCGCCACATAAATATAACATCCTCAGCCTAGCAGTTAGCGAGAATTATTAAAGTTGTGTTCGGCAATAGCTTTTTAAGTAACTTTTATTGGACCAGTTAAAATGTTAAAAGCTACTTATATTTCATAAGTCATAAATATTTTTTGGAAGGATAATATAATTTTTTTTCCAATTTAATAAAAAATAACTAGTGCGCAACCTTACACATGATAAATTACCTAGATCCAAATATGAAAATTGTCAATTTTATTGATCATAGGAAGATTATATATTTATTTATCATAATAAATTTACTTTAATTTTTGTTTTATTATCTATAGTTCACCTCTAAAAATTGACATTTTACTCTATGCCTTGGAACATACAAATATGTATTTCATTTACTATTTCTTTTAGATGTGCAAAAGAAATAAAATATATTACCAAGAATTTTTTTTTTCTTATTTTATCATATGCACAATTAAAATTAATTAGGAGCCACTGGCTAGTAGTCTCTGTCTACAGCCAACCCTAGATAGCCATATATATACATAAATATATGACAAACTACAAGAATCCATGAAAGTTAACCCCTTATTACGTAGCTTGAAATATTATTTCGGCCTATAAAAGTTTTCAATAAATTAAAAAGAAAAAGTTAATCCCTCTACGTACTATATTTAGAAAATAAAAAATCTCAATTTAATAGTATTCCATCCCTTACACTTTAATAGCAATAAATAGATATTTTTACCCATTTTGAAAGTATATTAATTATTGTTTTTTCATCTTTACCCATGTTTGTTAGGTGTTTTGTAGTAAAATTAGATGTGAAACTTTTAATTTAAAAAAATGGCAATTTAGACAATCTGCCATATATTTTTAGAAAATCAATTTATTTAATTTTTTTCTTATCCTTGTGAAAAGATCAAATGTTGTTAATAGCGTGAAAACGGAGGGAATATAATTTTGCATTTATTATATGAAAATTTGGAAAATTGGGTAATGAAAGTATGTATGTACATGTTCCATTAGAGGCTCCACCATATTATCCAATTTATGGGTAACATATACAGTTGATAGCATTTATTTTGATTTTGGCAATGAATTATAGACCCCTAAAAAAAAAAAAAACAACTATGGAACTCTTTAATTAATTAATGGGAAGTTGGAAACATATTAATTGTGTGTACTCTAATTCTTAGCTCAATCGATGTTGACAAGATTGGTTGTTAATTAATAGTTTTACTTATTAACTAATTTCTATATAATATTAAATGCATAAATATTGTGCACAATGGCAAGTTTGCTAGGTGAACAATATATTGTTAAATTATTATTATTATTATTATTATTATTGCTATATTGAAAATATTTATTTCGTAAAATATGAATATCACAATTAATTTTAAGGTAGGGATAAGTATTTCAGTGATTCAATTCACTGTGGCTAGAACTAACGTTAACATAATAAATCAAATTTTATATAAGAACGATTTAATCAAAATTAAACCAAGTTAATTCGATTCAGATTTTTGTAGATTTTATTAATTTTTGAGTAAAATTAATTTGACTTTTAGATTTTTTTTATTTTATATAATAAAAACTTGATTGAACTAAATTCAATTCAATTCGGTTAATTTCATTGTATTATACTCGGTCTTAACTTTTTTACGATTTTGAATAATTTTCATTAAAATTAGTTATCATATTTTCAATTATTAGGAATACAAAATATATATTTATATAAACAAATAAAGATTAAGTTCATCATTGATAAATTTTGAAAATGAAAATGTCCTAAAATATTTAATGGCTCATAACAACTAATTGACATTTAACAATTCACAACACCAACTTAGGCTCTAAAATAAAGCATTTCAAGAACATTAATTGTTTAGGTTTCATATAACTAAATAATTAAAAGTCAATTTTAATTTTTAATTTAGCCACATTAGCTATTAGTTTAATTGGTGCCTATAAAATTAATTAAGAAATTAAGCCAAGATTATTAGCTTAAGGAACTAGTTTAATTTAGATTTTTGGTGGGTAATATTGTAAATATGCAGACGCATTAAATACAATCAGTACAGTATATAGTCCCCTAAAACGTAATAACTAACCGGGGCCTAAAATATTAAAGTTAAGGTCGACTCAACAATGTATATCCTAGTAATACAAGTATAGTCTAAATATAAAATAAATACAAAATAAATAAAAGCTCGTAATAAAAACTTGGTTAAAGCATTAATTAAATTTGGTTAATCAGAGTTCAATTAATTGAAATAATAAGGTACAATTATATTTTTACACATATAAATTTTAAAATTATCTTGTACAATTATAAAAGAAAGTAAATTTCTCTTTTCAAAAAAAAAAAAAAAAAAATTAATTTAGATCCACAATTGAGCTATTAGTTTAATTGGTGCCATATAAAATATATTTAAGAAAAATTAAAGCCAAAGATTATTAAGCTAAGGAACTAGTTTTAATTTAAGATTTTTGGCCTGGGTAATATTGTAAATATGCAGACGCATTAAATAACAATCAGTACAGTATATAGTCCCCCTAAAACGTAATACTAACCGGGCATAAAATATTAAAAGTTAAAGGTCGACTCAACAATGTATCATCCTAAGTAATGACAAGCTATTAGTCTAAATATAAAAAGAGAGAGTACATAAATAAATAAAAGCCTCGTAATAAAAACTTGGTTAAACATTAATTAAATTTGGTTAATGCAGAGTTTCAAATTAAATTGAATATAATAAGGGTACAATTATATTTTTAACCATATAAAATTTTAATTGATCTTGTACAATTAATAAAAAGAAGAGTAAATTTCTCTTTTCAAAAAAAAAAAAAAAAAAAAGAAAAAAAAAAAAAAAAAAAAGAAAGTAAATTTACTTTTGGATATATGGGAGATCCAATGGACCAGAATAACATTATGGACTACACAGCTGAAGGTAACCCTCCCCTTTGAATGACATTTACCAAATTGATTACAACTTTTATAGTAGAGAGGGCTCGCACTCGAGACTTTTTATTCTCTATATCTTTTACAAGAGAGTAAGACTAATCAAATCACAATTGATTGAAAAGTAAATTTACTTTAAGACATTATTTTATTTTGATAATTAATTAAATTTGAGACCTAATTTAGTAGTAATAGATATAGGAGAAGTCAAATTTATATCTTCTTTAATATCTTTCTTACTAGTATTTAATTAATTATTTATTTTTTCAATAAAAATTTCTAATATACCAAAAAATAAATAAATGAACCAAAACTTTTGATAGCATTCATAAGAAGATTGTAAAAATTGGGTTAAAGATGCATCAATTTTTAAATATATATTCTCAATATAAATATATACGGAAACAACGCATAACACTAAATCCCGCATAAGTAAAGACAAAGAAGAAGAGAGAGACTATACAGAGCCGCTTCGAGACGGCCGCTACGAAACATTTTCTCTAGCCGGCTAATTTTTCCTCTCTCTGCCTTCTTAAACAGAAACAAACTCTCTCTTCTGCTTCGTCGTTCCTTTTCATTTCTTCTCTGCAACTATATATCGCCTTCTCTGCACTTCTTCCGACGTACTAAACTTCTTAACACCATTGTCAATGGCGAAGATCTCACAGCAAAGCCGAAGAAACACTGCAAATTCTACTAACACAAATCCTACATCAACATCAACTAAGCCTAAACGGACAAGAAAAACTGTGCCTAGAGACTCTCCTCCGCAGCGTAGCTCCGTTTACCGTGGAGTTACAAGGTTAATTTTCAAATTAACTCCATTTTCATGGCTTCATTGTAATTATTAATTAATATCTATTAATTTCTTCTTAATTGCTGTTATACAGACACCGGTGGACGGGACGGTATGAGGCTCATTTGTGGGATAAGAATTGCTGGAATGAATCGCAGAATAAGAAAGGAAGACAAGGTTTGAATTATTAATTTATTTTACTTGAATAGTTTTGTTATTAATTATAATTATTGATTTTTTTTTTCCTTTCATTTTGGGGTGTGATGTGAATGTTGATTGTGGTGGAATCCAACTGAACTACAGTGTATCTAGGTACTGTTTGGTTTGTTTTCTTGCATTTCATTTTTAATATTTAGAGTATTTTTAATTTTAATTTAACTAATTATTTTTTGTATTCAAAGATTTATATTATGAAATTAAAAAAAATATTAAAATTTTAAGATTTTTGAAATTTTAGGTGCATATGATGATGAAGAAGCCGCAGCACATGCTTATGACTTGGCAGCATTGAAGTACTGGGGACAGGAGACCATCCTTAATTTCCCAGTAAATTAAATTTTCAGTTCTTGATTTTATTTATTTTTTATTATTTCTGAACCTTCAGTGACGGTTAAAAAATTAATTAATCACTATATGTGCTTTCATTATTTCAGTTGGCAACTTACCAGGAAGAGCTCAAAGAGATGGAAGGTCAGTCAAAGGAAGAGTACATTGGATCCCTAAGAAGGTAACTAATTAATTTAAATTAATACTATTAATTATTTTTTGGATTAAAATGTTAATTCTTATAGTAATAATTAACTATAAAATGATTTTGCAGGAAGAGCAGTGGATTTTCCCGTGGGGTATCAAAATATAGAGGTGTAGCAAGGTATATGTCATAATTATTTTTTTTCCTAGCATTTTATTTCCTAATTATAGTATCGCAAATGCAAATATTTAATAATTAATCGAGTATTCATCTCACAACGTAAAGCTGCATTTTCAATTAGTTGTTTGGTTTTAGGTAATTTTTATTTATTAATTAATGTCTCAAATTTAGTGATTAGGTATTAGTTGTTAATAAAAAGGTTAATGAAAGTGAATTGATGAGATGTCTGTATCAGTCAAAATCCAAGTGTGGCTGGTAGCTTTCTATCGTTTTCCAAAAGCTAAAAGTAAAACAATAATCCTAAATTGTGCAGACACCATCACAATGGAAGATGGGAGGCTCGAATTGGCAGAGTATTTGGTAACAAATACCTCTATCTTGGAACTTATGGTAATTTTTTTTTTCTCTGGAGTGGTTACTTCTTTTAAATTTCAAAAGTTGTATTTATATATTTATTGGTAATTATTTTATAAATTGAGTTTTACAGTTACTAATCAGCTATTAAATATCTTATATGAAATCACGGTTTCACTGTATAAATTATTTTTTTAATTTTTTAAATGAAAATGAATTACATACGTGAAAACTGAATATAATGGAGTGTAGGGGTAAACTTAGAATTTCCAGCTAAGTGGGATAATTTTAATTTTCCTTTTCAAACTTTATCTATCAAAGGGTCAAATCTTTTTGTTTTTAATACTAATTATTTTGTAAATATTTAGGTAAATTAAAGGTGAAAATGTAAAGTATTTTCCATAAAATATAAGTAAAGATAATAAGATAAAGAGACTATGTGATCAAACATATCCTGTTAGTTAAGAAATAGATCACCAAACCTCAACAACTTAATGAAGCTAGCGAAATTCAAACTCACACCAAAATCTGCAAGCAAATTGATTCCTCCAAATTTATTCCCAAGCTACCCTTGAACCTTTCCTACATTCTCTTTGCAGCCACTCAAGAAGAGGCGGCCACAGCTTATGACATGGCAGCTATTGAGTACCGTGGACTCAACGCCGTTACAAACTTTGACCTTAGCCGTTACATCAAATGGCTACGTCCAAATAGTTCTCAACAAAGCCCTAACAGTGCTGCCGATGCTAATTTAATACCGAATCCTACTCAAGAGCTTGGATTAAGTTTCACATCTCACCAACAAAGCTCAAACTCTACGGAAACCACCGTGCCTCCGCCATGGCCGAACGGCCGCACTGGTGGATCAGCATCATCTGCATTAGGGCTTCTATTGCAATCCTCAAAGTTCAAGGAAATGCTAGAGAGAACTTCGGCTGGCGATTGCCCTTTGACACCACCAGAGTCCGAACCACGGACTCCACCAAGCCGGAGCTTCCCTGATGACATTCAAACATACTTCGAATGTGAAGACTCCGGTAGCTTTGCAATCAGCGATGATGACATTATTTTTGGAGACCTAAACACATTTGCTTCACCAATTTTTGATCAGTGCTGCGAATTTGTTGGTTGAAGAACTATGCAAGTAACTGGTCAAATAAGTAGTTGGTTGAAGAACTTGATGGAGGTAAGGATGGTGACAGGAGATGATGAAAAATGGTAAGAGTACAGAGACAATTTACAATATTCTTTTCTTTTCTTTTTTCTTTTTTTCTTTTTTTTTTTCTTTTGAAGATACGTGCTTCTCTTCTTTCCTTAAATTAAAAATATGGAAAGAAAATAGTTTATTAATTTTTTTTTTCTCAATTTACATGTAGATATAGTGGAAAAATAGACATTCATTTATCAGTTATTGATTTTACTTAATTAATAAGAAGAATTGGCAAGTTTATTTTATTAACCAATTTTCAATATTATAAATGTAATTGGCTCTCCTTTAGTTTAATTCTTGTCTATAATTTTATGTTACAATTCAATATTTCAATTTTCATGACAAAAATAAATAAAATATATTTGCACGCTTCCTTTTTGAAAAATTATAGCAACTCCAACCGTAAATTTTCCACACGTGTATGTATACATGCACATGCATTTTATAAAACGTTCAAATAAATAGAAGTGAGGCGTGCATAGGACCAGCGAATATTTTCAGTCTCATCTTAAAATATCGAAATATAAAATAAGAGTTCTATTCTCTTCCTAATAGGTGCATAGAAGCTTTCCATGCGGTAAAATAGCGACCGACTTGTTTTTTATTGCCTAATTACTAGTTTTTGGAAAACATTATTCTCTGTGGGCCCACGTCACTAGTCACTAATTATACTGTGTTATAATTTTGCAAAATTATAAGAAGGTACAATAAATGCCAATTACATTAATTATATATTTACAAATAAATATAAAAATGAAATGATAATTACTTTCCATAAATTTTTTCATACTCGACCAAACATAATGATTACATTCTATTAAAATACATTTCCATCACATTACATATTTGATTATATTACATTTCATTATATCTAACCAAATATAGTCTTAATATAATGAAAAAAAAGATGAATTAATTATGACTCAATCGGTTAAAAATATACTATTAGTAGATATAGTTTAGCCAAGTGGATTTTATGTAATAGTATCAATAAATAATACTTCAGTGCAATTAAGATAGACATTGCTATAAATTTAACAGGACCACAAAGCATATTGTACTTGCAGACACATCGATCGTAGGACGGCTAAATTATAGAGAGCCGTTGGATCTGATCCTTAATTTCTAATATTTTTTGAATGCTCTTTAATTAACTCATCCATACACCGCACACTACCATGTATTTGCCAACTTAATCGAATTTATGGTATCGGTTGTGAATTATGATCAAGGGCGTTAGAGGTTGGGAGCTGTATATATATATTATTTTCTTTTTTAATGTGTTATATAAATTTAAAATATTAATTAAATTTTTTATATTAATTTTGATATTTCTAATTATAAATAAAAACATTACATAAAAAATAATTAAAAAAAAAAGTAACTTTTAATGATAATTATATATAAAAATACAATTCAGCTAAGAGTGGATAAGAAAAGCTTGACAATGCAGATAATAATAATAATAATAAAAGCTCTAAAATATAATAATGTGAAATAAGCAATTGATTGAGCTTTTATTAACATATTTTATCAAACATCTTTAAGTTTAATTATTGAACTGCATTAATCTGAGTAACGACAACCTGTAAAATAGAGAAAGATAGTATCAAAGGGGGGTAGCAAGCTCACTCCAATGGTAATAAGTTAATATATAATACTGATTAGAGAATTTTAAAGATATTCAAAAAGGTAAGGGTATTTTATCTTGATACTTATAAATTTATAGAATCTTATGATTCTATGATTTCGTGTAGGGAAAATTATTATTTTATCTTTATATTTAATTTGTAAAAAATACATGACTTTATACTTGTATTTTTAAAAAGACACAGTATTATTCTCTATCTTTTACTTCCTTTACATGGTTATGTCCTTCTGTTAATTTTTGTACTTTTCCATTAAATAAAAAGATAAATTCTTAAATTTTTACAAAAATATAAGGACATATTAATTAATTTTGTCAAAATATAAGAATTAATTATTAATTTTTTGACAAAAAAAAAGTAAAAAAAATTTAACAGAAATGTATGAAAATAAAATATAGGGACAAAATTATATATATGTCAAATATAAAAATAATCTTATATATTATGCAAAATGTAAGGACAAAATCATAATTTTCCCTTTAGTGTAAGTAGAGAACCATGTGACATTAATGTCTTTCATCAATCGTAAGTTCTAATTTGTGCAGACTAATGAATCTTAAGTTCTAAGATAAGTGAGATTCTAGATCCATTTTATTTGGAGTTGAATCTTAAGTTCTAAGATAAGTATCTTAAGTTCTAAAACAAGTGAGATCCTTCTATTTAATTTGGAGTTGAATCTTAAATTCTAAGATAAGTATCTTACATTCTAAAATAATTGTTGCGTGTGAAAAAGACGTATTTCAAATCTCAAAGAAATAATATAATATTTTTTATTTATTGAGAGATCGAATGAGTTAAAGTAACATAATGAACTATACAATACGATAACTTTTCCATTAATTCACCAAATTAATAAAAATTTTTATAGTCTCAAAAACTCCGACTTAAGATCTAACTTCTTATATTATATGTATCATTGTACTTGAATGCTTATTTTACATTTTAATAACAATACAAACTGTTACCTTAATAAGATAAAATAGCATATTTATATTCCAAGTATATATTATTTAAAATACTAAAAAAAAATGCATTAAAGTATTTTTCATATAAAAAGTAAAAATGTGTCCATTTGTTATTCAAAGAAGAATTTGTAATAGATAAAAAATAACAATTTTAAAAAATAAAAGGTTTTGACTTTCGGTTTGATTTGACGTGAGTTTCTAGTTTCTACAACTTAGTAGAATTAGGTATTTGGCAAGTGGGTAGGGGGGAACGTTGACTTAATTCCTTCTAGGATAAAAGGTAGAGAGTATAGGTTGGTAGGTGCACTAATTTCCATCCCTAAAAATACTCAATAGATTACCCTCCTGTCCTCGAGGGGCAACCCCTAAATTTAATTTTGCACCCCCTACCTTTACGACGCCTTAACATTTTGCACATGTTTTCACCTCTACTCTTTGATTTTTATCTTTATATATAAAATATTGATTATATATATATTAAAATGAGGAGTGGTATCATCGAATGTGTATTCTCGTGTTATAAGAATTAAGATCGCTTATTATCCTATCAACACCTTATTAGTATATAAATATCGATTGATCTGTTGTTAGTATAACTTTAGAAACAATAATTTTCACGTTTTACAACCACCTAATAGATATTTAATTGATTTATTTTATAAGTTTACATGTTCAATAAAAAAGTTTTGTAAATTAAAGCGTTTAATATGAATAATTATTGAAATATTTGATGAGTCAAAGTAAAAATTGAATATTTTACAAGATTAAAGCTAAAAAATTCAAGAGCAAACTTATGCATTTGGTCGTAACATTTGTCAGCAATTCTTTCCATTGTAAGTACAGCAAATATAGTTTTCTGTAAACGGACTTTGATGCTTTGTTCATAACTTTTATCTTCTTAACATAGTTTTCTTGCAAGATTGTAGTTTACCATTTTGTGATGGGGGCAAGACTGTGGGGCATGTGTAAGAATAGTGCAGATGTTAGATGTCGAAAGAATGACTTGGTAGAGAGTTGGAATTAGAGAGTGAAGGGTGATGCTTCTGGTGCTCAGTTGATTAATATTTCAATGTACCTTTTAAAAGTCATTTAGAAATCTTAATTTGGTTAATCAAATTTTGAGATTAATGATTTAGTCAAGATTTTTAATTTATAAACTAAACATTTTTTCCACATGTTTTTAGAATTGCTAAATGCGATGTGTTATTATGATATTTTCGCATACTGCATGACGATGACTTTGACTTGAAAATTAAGGGGCTTAATTCTTGCTTTAAGCACTCTTAATATATTCCATCACACCAAAGTATGAATCATTCGATTATTATATAATATTTTGTATTTTATAAAATTTTTTTGACCCGTGATGATCACGCTCCTTTGCCAGCTATTCAATGGGTAATTTGGTAGTTTTAATATTGTTACTGTTTTATTTGGCCCAAAAGCATAAATCTAAGTTTTTTGATCCTCATGTACAAGTTGAAAGTCAATCAAGGTCGTCTCACTTGTACGAAGAAAGTTTCGAGTTTCTCACTTATGCCAAAAGTGGAAAGTTGAATTTTATCGATTGTAAGTGTTTTCACTAATTTAATAAGTCCATAAGAGAGCTATCCATGTTATGTAGCCGACAGTATTAGTTATCCCAATGAATTAAAAAAAAAAAACAGAAACTAAATCCAAACATACTATATTCTCTAGCCATTCCATAATAATAAATCTAGTTTTGATTTTCACACATATTAAATTTAAGTAAAATGTCTTATGCCAAAATTATTTAAAAAAAATAAAACAGTAACAATTTTTAAAAAACGCATGTTTTCATCGGTTTGATTTATGAATGCTCCCATAAGTAAAAAATTATTATCTCTACTCAAATAGGCTCAATAGTTAAAAAAAGTGAAAAATTAGAGGGCAAAATCCAATCAGAGCCCAATAGCCTCCATCCAGGGCTGCAAGCATCAATTCATGAAGTGAAGGGTGAGTTGAATGGCCGGGCCTTTGAAAAATTTGACATTTTTCAAGCCCAAGCTTTGGACAAGTCTAACTATGAAAACCACAAATTGTGTGCATTCATCATTCATGCTTGGAAAAGAAGGCCAGACCTAATGGCATTTACATTAAAAAAGAAAAGAAAAAAGAAGAAACAAGAAATATTGTCCACCCTTACAAACTGAATCTTACCCAATTATGCTTCTTTTGAAGTAAGAAGCAAAAGGTAAAAAGAAACAAAATAGAAACTAAAAGATTGTGTTCAGAGGTTGAACTGGAACATATGTTGCTTGTAATTAAACCGTGCAACATAATTTTGAATCAATTGAAGTCAAACATATGCAAAATGCCTGATAGCCTGACAAAGGATATCTGCAAAGAAAGACAGAATGCTGTCATTTATTTCTCAAATGTTCTCAAGAACGCAGAAAAGCCATTTTTAGATACAAAAGATATGCACCTGAAATCCATAACAAACTTTGATTTCCCCACCCTCCCAAGCTGCAAAATTGTTTGTTTTCCGTGCTCCTATAGATCCATAAATGAGTTAATAACCATCAATCTGAGACTAAAAAATTGTATATGATAATACTTCAAAGTGGTCCATTCATAATACCTCCAATTTGAGCTGGAAATTCTTCACAGACCTTTGGATTCTCAGTCCAGTTCTGCCTTTGTCTCTGTAGTCTAATTCATATTGCTTTGAAATCTTCAAAACCAAAAGAAATCAACTCCATGAAGGAAAATATATATCAATGAAGTTCAAAAATCCTATTCTTTTATGATGGGATAAACTTTCTACAATTCTTACATTACTGTAGTTTGGAGTCCTTGACTGTAGGTTATGTACTTTGTCCATTTTCCCTTCCCAATCCTTGGGCAGACAATTAATGTGGTGCATCTATTCCAAAGAGAATAGCAGCAAGTCAAGAAATCATCACACACAATTCCAAATCCAAGTAAAAGTAATCACAGTCTAATTCACCTGAGTTGAGTTCTTAAGCTGCATGGATTGATGCTTCGGTATGTACACCCTCATGCTTCTATAACTACCAGCACAAGTGGCTACTGTAGGCACGAATCTGTAGAAGACAAGGAAGACAAAATTAACAACAACAAGAACATTTAGAGGGACAGTAGAAGGGGATGGTAGGGGGTTCTGCCGTACCTAACAACAGCCAGAAGCGGATGATGCTGCTTAGATGGTGAATTGAGACGCCTATGGCTTCCCTACATTCAAACATGTCATCCATGTCTTTTCAGTTTAGATTTTACTAAAGAAATACATATATTATTATAAAGTTGCAAGTTTTAAGGTATTGAAGCAAACCTGGTCCCATATTTGATACTTGGAACCCATGAAATTAGCTGTTATATTTCCAATAAAACTATCATCTGAAGTAGACAAAACTCCTCTCAAATTCTGAGCTATAGTAAACACTGATTTTCCATTACGCCGCTTATGGTGAGCTATTGCTAGTTTCCTATCCTGCCGTCCTTGTCCTTCCTATGGTTTTGACATATGGAGAATCAAAGATGCAAGAGCAAATTTTAGTCGGCAATATTCACAGCTAGAAGTTATTAGTAGTTTTTGTTTAATTCAAAAAACCACTTTGAATCCAACCAAATCAGAAAAGAATTAAGATTGAAACTAAGAGGTCATCAATGATGTGAAGAAAAACACGGTTCAATTGTGGCAACAAATTCTTTTCTTGGTCTTTCATTCCTCAAAACCCAACAAAAATAGTTAAAGTTTGGCAGGCTTGATATCATCATACCATGTTTTACACAAATTGATTCCAATCAAATCAGAAAAGAATCAAGACTGAAAATAAGAGGTCATCAATTACGTAAAGCAAGAAACAGTTCAATTCTGTAATAAATTCCGTTCTTGATCTTTCGTTCCTTATAACCAAACACGAATAGTTAAACTTTAGCAGGCTTGATATAATCATATTAGACATGCAGGTTAAACTCAATAAAATTATAACTCACCAACCCAACGCATCTTCCTTTGTAATTCCTTAGCTACTCCCCCTACTTACCCAAAACAGCAGCTTTTACAAGCTTACTTTTTGAGTTTGTAAAGGAAGTTTTATTTTGCGGCTCGAGTTCCTGTAACTCAAGGACCCACACAAACTCGGGCCTAAATCCATCGGTGACCAAATTCTTGGCAATCAATATTTTGATTGCTGCTTTCCCTAAAACATTGTTTAAAGGACGTAAGGGAATGCCACTATAGGATGAAAAATACAACCAACTTAGAAAAACTGAAGGGTCTTTTTGTTGCTTTCCTAAAATGTTATCTACTGGCACAGTAAAATGAAAATTAGGTCAAGTGCAATGTAGAAGAGCTGCTTCCATCACTGGTTCACAACCAAAAGTGTCTGATAGCATAATTTTAACTTGGTTTCAAAACTTCTTGCACTTGGTTGGCAAGTCCTTCAACTTGGTTTCCAAGTTATAACAAATGCAACTTTCAAGTCGTTTTAAGGCTTAACTACACAGTTTTTGAAGATATTTACTGGCAATTAATTATTTAAGCATTTCAAAAATGACTGGGCTGGCATTACAATAGCTACAAATGAGATCAAGCAGTGGTCTTTCAATTACTCAGGGACAAGGATCAAGCATAACAATAATGGACACATTAGATCAAAACCCTCATAAAAGCAAGAAGAAGAAAATTAAAAGTCAAGGAGATCTTACATTAGTATAAAGTGAGTATATCGTACCCCCATTTAACCCTTCTGGCAATGCTTCCTTCACAATAACACAATTACATCTCCCTATGTCCAAAGGCAAAGGCCTACATAACAAAGCCCTGAAAATAAACCCAAAAAAAATCACAATAAGAAAACAAATGTTCATTCTTTAATCAAAATAGGCAATAAAAACCATTGAATATTAAAGGACATTAACATTATAATTCAGAATGTATATATATATATATATATATATATATATGAAAAAGGTGTAAATAAATATAAACACACCTATTAGGCAATGTAGACCAAGAAGAAGCAGGAGCAGCCTCAGAATCTGAATAATCCCAAATAGTCAAAGAAGAAGCTGATTTCTCAGACTCGACTGGGTCCCACAATTTATACTTGAAACCATTTTCAGGCTCATTCATCTGCATACAGAACTGTAACGAAGTCGGCTTCAGGGCTCTACCAGTAGACAAAGATTTCATTTTTGACAATTGCTTTGGCATAAGAGGAAGAGACCCATCTGTAGATAAAGGTTTAGAGTTTGCACGCTCTGCATTTTCTTTGTTACAGCCAAAAATGGGATTATTCTCTTTGTTGTCAGTCATAATTGTTGTAAGGTCTCCTTCACTACAACTATGGTGGTGTTTGGAGTCAGTTAAGGGATTGACAAAAATGGAATTATATGAAGATTGGATTGGAGCTGTGGGTTTCTTGAAACCAGCCATTATTTGGCTTAAAGAAAATTCAAAAGGGTATTGCGACTTGTTTAGGAAAGATTTAAAATGGAATTCTGTTATTATCTTTTTCTTTGAAGCAAATGAGACATTTTTCAGGAAAGGAAGTTAGTGGATTTTGGAAAGAAACAAGCTTTAATATGAATTTTGGTGCATATGAAATTGCTCGAAGGGAAAATCTAAAGTCCTGATTCTGCCACGTCATCATCAAAATTTGATTGTGATTGCTTTGGGAAAGAATAATGGTGTGATGGGTTTGAATCAGAGACAAAGATGAGAGGAGGGATTTGATTTTGAATTTGAAAGTGTCATGGATAAATGTGCAGTCTTTTTGTTGGCTAGTGCTTACCTTTTACGTGGACACAGTAAGCTTGTGTTATGTTCCAACGTCAACGGTAACTATTGGAAATTATAAAAAATGCAAGTTTTCAATAAATAAAGAGAATAAATTTCAATTTAATCCTAAATTAGAGTAATATTCAATTCGCTTAAAAATTAATTTTTTATATAATTTATTCTCTAAATTTGTATCAAAGAATAAAAAATCTAATTTTTTACCCAAATGAAAATAAATATTTATTTTAAATTAAAATATAATTAAAAAATAATTAAATCTTTAGTTTAGATCAAATGTAATTAATAAATAATTAAATAAAAAATAAATATATATGTCTTTGTTTTTTTTTTATTACGATAAGTTTATTAATATTTGAAACATATTCCTCTATCTTCAAAAGAAAAGTTATTTTTTTTAATGATTTAATTTTTTCCTTTTGATCATAAATAATATATGATTAATTTTCTAAAAGTTTCAAATATCAGAAAATTTAAAAATCATATTTTCTACAAATAAACGCAATCTAGGTTGTAAATGACCATTCTCAAAAAAATTTTGTTTGGTGCAAGTAAATTTTGTTTTTACTTGTGATAGTAATTATAATTATAGCTTATTAATATATTTGAATTAATTCAGTATGGTTTAAATTGATTGGTTTATTCACCAAAAAATTGATTCAATTTGGTAATACATATACATATACTTATTGATACATTTGAATGATTTTTTTTATTAATAATGATAATATATACTTATTTCTTGGTTGCTTAAGAGAGATTTAAAAAAAAAAAAAAAGCTGTTAAAGCCACTTTACAAATTTGGAATACTTTTGATTAATTTTTTTAACATTCAAGAATCAAAATTAAGATTTCAATCGTGTAGATCTAGCAAACATGTCAAACTTGTTGCTTTCTGAATAACCTTTCGATTATTTGATGATCAAATAAATGCGATGACGATTATTGAAGGGTATAGATTGTTAATTAATAAGTAAAACTTTTTAGGGTTAATCAAATTGCGGTTATGACCTCCATCTATAGATCAAACCAATGAAAATAAGAGTTTTTGTTGAAACGAAAATATTCTAAAATATACTCTTGAAAATAAAAAGATAAAGTATGAATAATTTTAAAAGTTTTCACATTTTTATTGGTTTGATATATAGGTGGAGTCATGAATCCGATCTAAATAAGTATAATCGTAGAAAAGGAAGGACGTGAATTTTTATAAATACTCTATCAGCCTTTAAATCGGGGTTGAGTATCGGTGGACTTCTAATTTAATGGTTCAGGCATCCATCAGTACTAAAAAAGACTTGCTTATATTAAATATATTTTTTCAATTGGAAAGTTAATTAAAGCTTAAAAATCCTTATATGTGTTTCCAAAAAAAAAAAAAAAAATTTCCAAAAAAAAAAAAAAAAAACCTTATATGTCGCTAGCAAACTATTCTAGAGTGTACTTTTATACTAGAAAACCAAATGAGAAAAAAAAAAAAATTCTTTTCTGTATATGGCAATTAATTACAGTTTTTTTTAAAAAAAAAATGTAATTCATTAATAATAATATTAAGAATTACAAATAAAAATATAGACTAAATATAAAACTTTACTATTAATAGTTAATAGAGTTTGCTGATCTTTTAACGAATTAAAAGAATTCATATCCTTTTGAATAATAAAACTAAAACTAAAAATTATAATATTAGATCTTTCCTTTTCGAGTTGATCTCGACAAAAGATACAAATCTTCGTAGTAGCAACTAGTCCGTTAATTGATTTGGACGTCAAAATAATAACTCCTCTGGATCTTTTATAACTGGATTGCTTTTCCAATAATTTGCAACATATGATGAATACAGATGAGTTTTTGCCGTTATGCATCAATAGCAACAATAGAGGAACATGCCGTAATACCAGGGTCTATCGATTGAAGATCCACACTTGTAAATCAAGACCTAAAGTCTCGAATCAAATAAAATAAAATATTATAATTTTATTTAGTAATAAACCCTCACAAAGAAGGACTACCCTCAAAGAAGGGACAAGAAACTCTAAATATGGAGACAACCAATAATAACAAAACAAAAAAGATAGATATGTTATAAAAAAAAAACAGATCTGAGTTTATTGAAATAAGGGAAGATTAAAAATAAAAGAAGGTCATGCGAAAGAGATAACAAAAAGTAAGAGGTAGGGGTACTATGATAAACAGCGATAGCCTCAAAGTAAAACTAGAGTTAAAAAACTAGAGAGAAAACTAACTTCACTCTATTAGATTTTTTTTGGCCAACACCGGCAATTAATTATAGGTGGTTAGACCCTTTCTGTAAATGGCAACATTTTCACGAAAATTCTCAAGGACAACATCATGTACGTGCAAAATTCATCTGGTCAATTTTTTGTTAGAAAAATTAAACTATAAATTTCATTAATCCAAAACTGTATAAATATATGAGATATAAATCAATATATTTCTATATTTTTTTATAGGAAGTCTAATAATAAACCACTTATACAAATAATAAAAGAACACAATCTTGATTTGAAGAATCTGATAGAGTTGACTGAGCATAATATTTGTGCCATAAGAGATTGTGTGCTCTATTTGGTGGCTATTTATGGCCACTGTTCGAACTCCATGGTCTTTTTACAAGTTCGATCTATTACCTTTAAATTTCTTCATTCTATTAAAGAAGAGATATGCACTTCTTCCTACATAATTATTTAAATAATAAAATACGCTAGATAAAATATTATAATAGTGATAACAATAACTTAAAATTAGATATGAGAATAAAATCTCAATATATAAGCAACAATAAATTCAATAGTTAGGCGATAATAACTCAGACCATAAAAATCTAAGGATTATTTGCAAAAAAATAAAAATAAAAAGAAAATGGATGACCACAGGTGAGAGCTTATCGGTAGCCGTCTGTGAAAGAAGAAAAGTTAGGTTTTAAGTTTTAGATATTGAGAGTAAAGGAGAGATATAGCGCACATGTATTATTATTATTTTTTAACATATAGATCATATAAAACAATATGATAATTTTTGCTAATATATATATATATATATATACTAGTTTTTTCGAATGTGCATTGTATGTTGTTTGTACTTATTGATTTTTACATATCGTAAGTAAATGTAATTTAATTTATATATAATTATTTTTTATTATAAATATTAATATTATGAACAATTTCTATTACTAAAAATCTAAAAGTATTCAATAAAATAGAAAAAAAGAACATGTTACAGAATAATAAAATAAAAGAATTCAATAATTAAATAACTTGTCAAGGAAATAACATGTTTATAATAATAAAACATTATCATAATTTGATAATCAAATAAAATTACTTATCAACCAATTTAAAATTTTTTTTAACAATTTAAATTTAATTAACTTAACTCTTTTATATATAATATAATATAATAAACTGTCTATATTACTAAAATATGAGATATTGGTATATTATAATAATTAATATATTAATTATTATCTTAAAGCATCATTTATAATTTTGGTTTTTTTTTTTTTTTTTTTACTTTTGATAAAGTTTATGGGTGAATAATTAAATTTATGATGGTTTATTTTTGAGAAAAAAAAAATATTCTTTCAATTTATTATATGGATTGCTAATATAACATGTTATATTATATATATTAAATTTTATTTTCTATTTTATATCAAACAGTAAATCGTATAATATATTCTTTAATAAATAATCATAAATTACGTTTAGTTTTTGTAGAATAAGTTACTTAAAGAAAATAATTATAACCTATTCAAATTAAAGATTTATTAAAAATTATAATTAAAAATATTATTATATCCTTACCTTATTTAATATGTACCTTACATAATATAGTATAACCAATCAGAATTAGATTACCATTATTTTTTAATAAATGAAATCAAAGTTCTTAATTAAATTACCTTTTATTCTTACCATATTTAATATATACCTTATTTTTTATATAATATAATTTCATAGTGTATCCAATAGAATTTGGATTTAGATATGAAATTAATATAATAATAAAAATTAAATTACCTTTATTTTTTAACCAATAAAATTAAAATCCTTAAAGTTATTTATTTAATATATACCTCAAACAATATAATATAAATTTATTATTTAATCCAATAGAATTTATATTTAAATAAGAAATGAATATGACAAATCAAAATTAAGTTACCTTTAATTTTTCAACAAGTCAATTTAAAAACAGTTTAAAGTTATTTTTGTCAATCCATAAACTTAGGAGAGACATTATTGATAAGTTTTTGGTAATCCTAATGTGATCCATTTCCCCACATATATATATAATCGTTAGAGTTTAATATTTGATTTTTTTTTATTTTATTTTATAATATAATAGTTAAAATTTCAATTTCTAATTAATTAACCTTTACATACTAATCTTTTGAATATTACAAAAATTTCTAAGGTAGCCTATTTCTTAATTATTTTTTCATTAACTAGCTTTTCTAATTGTTCCAAATATTTTTTCATAAATAAATGAAATCTAAGTAGTAAATGATAACATTGTTTCTTCATTCCTTGCTTATATTTGAAACTTTTTTTAATTACCAATAATTAAATTGCATGTTATATTTTAATTATTGCAAGTTAATTTATATTGAGTTATGATACTAATCACAATTACAATTTATTGACATATATGAATTAATTCAGCATGATTTAACTTGATTCATTTATTCACCAATATTGATTCAATTTGGCTTTACATCTACTTAATTAAGAAATTACAGTTCAATC